ATGATGCTGCTTGGCCTGCTGTGTTCATCCAGCTCTGCACCTTGTGGTCTCAGATTCTCCAGCATCTGCAGTTCCTACTATCTCCATTCAAGTGGCTTTACTTTAAATTCCAGTGGCTGTCACACAGTCATTAGAGGGAGAAACAGCAGGTGCCAAATTCCCCATTGAAAATGAAGGATAATGCTACAGTTTTCAGAGACCCAGTGCAGGAGCAGATCGCTGGCCATCATCATTGAACTGTCTGATCTGCTGAAGCAGGGGACTGCAGTCAGTAGGATTCAGTAGCAATCCCATTCCAGACGCCATCAAGGTTGTAGCTGCCCTCAAATCTTATGCTAGCAGCTCATCTCAAAAAGTATCTGGGGACCTGTGAAGTGTCTTGCAATTCTCAATGCCAAGTGAATCCAAAACATCACTGATGCCATTTTCTCCGATCACTGTTATTCATATCCTTCCTCTGTGATGATGAGAGTCAGGCAGCTTAGGCAATGGGATTCTCCAGCATTGCTGGTTTTCTCCTGGGGCAGGGTGCTATCTAATGCACCTGCATTGCTTTGAGAGTGCTCTATTACTACCCTGAAGAGCTTGTCAACAGACTTCTACTCTGTCAGTTTTCAAATTATATGCGACCAATGATTTGGAAGCTTGCACCAGATAACGCCTCAACTGCCATGATGTGTACACACAGCAGAATTCACGAGTTCCTGGATCTTTCCAAGGTCCTTAGGACCTACCGGATGACTGCTTAGAGATCAGGGCACGGAATCCCTCTGACCAGGAAAGAATAAGATATAATACTACTCCCATTTCCACTGAACCAAAGTGCAGCTGACCATAGGCCTCCTAAAGCTGAGGTTTTGAAGCCTGGATCTCTCCAGTGGGGCCTTGCAGTATAGGCCAGGAATGGTGTGTTGGCTCATTGTGGCATATTGTGCCCTTCACAACTGGAACCAATAAAGTGGAGAATATCCTGGATGCAGAGGAAATGGGGGATCAACAACAATCCTCTGATGATGAAGATGAGAATGATGATGAGGAAGGACACCCAAAGACAGCATGAAAGGACTGTGCACCGGTGAGTGCAAGGAGCCAGAGAGAAACTAACTGAACCCTGTTTCCAGGATGAATAAGCTTGGTCTTTTTTTCAACTGTTTAATCCATGTTGATTATATGGCAAGCAGATCCTGCCTATTCAAAAGACATATAACCTTAGTTATTGTTGCAGTCCTTGACATTTTCTATCACCGAAAAAAATATTTTGTCATCTAGCTCATTGCATACTTCATATCTTTGGGTGATCCTCCTTTCAAATATCTGCACATCTGAGTCCTATTGGCCTGCGAGGGGAAAAGTAGCAGTCAGCATGACAGGGCACTAACATTACACGGGGCTAAGATTAAGTGGCTTTTAAGTCTTTGGTCAGGGTATGATATCTAAGTGTTGTACAATGAAATCTCTCATGATTGACGTCAGAAATGCTGAGGCAGTTCCTTTGACACTTGCATCATCAGTTAGTTTTCACCATTTCACAGTGCGTGTAAACTTCTAAGTCGCTCTGAAATGCTTGAGCGTTCGGAGGAGAGCGGTGAACGTGGGACAGGCAGTTTTGCATGCAGCATTTCTTGGCAGGTCAATGTACCATGGGGAGTGTGGATATGTGAACTGTCTGTTGTACTCCGGCTTTGAATGGCAGTGTGCTCCAACCTTTTCCTCATCACTGATTCCGTACTGTCACTCACAAGATATGTGCAAGGGTGGAAAATGTGTTCAGACCAGGCCCTAGCATAATCTCTGCACTTTGTGCTTAGCTTCTGTGCTCCCAGCAGAAAAAGTGTTAATGCCCTGGTGCAGTCATTAACGCCATGGTCCGAGAAACCTTGACACAAGGAGTCAGGACTGAACACGACCAGCACTATGATTTTCACTCTTACTGAAAGTGGAATAATTCTGCCCTTATGTCGAGACAGACGAAGTTTTATTTCTGGGGAAGACTCACAACCATTCAGAAGCAGAATAAAATGCCTCCAATCTCAGACTTATATGGAAGACTTCTAATTTTTAAATCATGCTCCCTTGTTCTTGTCTCTCAAAAAGTTGAAGCATCTTTTCAGCATCCACCCCATCAAGTCCTCAGGATCTTATATGTCTCAATAAAATCACCTCCTTTCTTTTAAACTTCGATGGATATAGAGCCAGCCTGTCCAACCTTTCCTCATAAGATAACCCCATTTGATACCCAGATCCCTTATACTTCTGTAATCTCTTTCCATTTGAAACAATATGCTGCTTTTCTATTCTTCCTGCCAAAGTGAAGAAGTTCAGTTTTTCTCACATTATACTTCATCTACCAAACTTTTTCCCATTCATTTAAACAACCTTTATGCTTTTGCAGATACCTTATTTCCTCTTAACATTTACTTTCCTACCTATATTCGTGTCATAAACAAATTTGGCTACAATACCTTTGGTCTATTCAACCAAGTCATTGATAATAGACTATAAACAATTGAGGCTCCAACACTGATCCCTTTGGTTGGTTGGTTACTTCATTGGTTAGATCTTATCAACACAAGAATGAACCATTTATCCCTACTCTCTGTTTCCTGTGAGCAAACCGTTATGTTACCCATTTTACCAGGACCTCTTTTGAACTCTTATTTTGCATAGTAACCTTTGATGCAGCACCTTGTCAAATGCCTTCTGGAAATCTTAAGTGCAAAACATTCAACAGTTCAACTTTATCCATGTTGCTATCACTTCCTCAAAGAACTTAGATAAATTA